GGCCAAACTATTTCAACAAGAAATTCAACAAATTCTAGATAAATTAACTTCATTTGCTTCTAGTAAAATTGTTAATGGCAGCATTGATCAATTTCATTTTTATCAAGATTCATACACCCTTTAATTATTTTTTTAAATTTCCTGAATTAGAATTAGCCTTAAAGATATTTCCACTCAAGAAATATCCCAAGAAAAACTATAATGAGTATATACAAAACACTGCTGAGGCCAGTCCTCACATATGGGGTGGACACATCAACTGGACAACACAGAAGGATGAAAGACTTCTGGGAATATTTGGAGCTATAAACGATCAAAGGCAGTGGAACAAAAGATATATTTTTGAATTATACAACATCTTTAATGAACCAGATTCGCAATAAAAAAAAGAAATCCTATCAAGAATCGAACAAGCGAGGAAAACATCCATGAACGTGAAAACATTTTTTACAAGATCAGATGTTTTGCTGTATGGCTGTGAAAGTTGGACAAAGGACACTTAAACAGAAAAAAAGGTTAGATGCCTTTAAAATGTATATATACAGACGGACACTGAGAATTACATGGATACAAAAAGTTATAAATGGTGAGGTAATTTGGTGCATAAGTAAACAAAAAGAATTACTAAGCATAATTAAAGAGAGAAAAGTACAATACTTGGGTCATGTGCTGAGAGGTGAAACATATGAATTACTACAAATCATATTGGAAGGTGAAGTTCAGGGTAAAAGATCAGTTGGAAGACACTAGAACTCGTGGCTGAAAGACCTGAGGAGATGATTGGACCGCTCATCCATAGAAATGTTTTGTGCAGCAGTTTACAAAGCTACAATTGCCGTTTGGATCGCCAACCTTAAAAAGGAGATGGCACAATAAAAAGAAGAATAAACTAGATGTCGTAACATTCATTAAAACATAGCTACTTAGATGGGCTAGACACATATGAATTTCTAACAATATTATTGCTAAAAAGCTAACGACAGGAACACCTTTAGGAAGAAGAAGCAGAGTCTGACCACGAATTACAAATTAGGTGTACACCTAGTAAGTATTAACCACACTTTGTATTAGCCTTAGTCAAAATTTTAAATTTCATGTTTTCTTTAATTAAAGTGGTTATATACTTTTAGGACACACTTATGATGGAATATAGATTCCGAAATTGTGCTGTAGCCTGATTGGGAGTTTTAATATTCTTCTTCTTCAGATGCAAATCCACTAATGGATGTTAGCGATCACATTTTCCATTAATTCTATATTTCTTGCAATATGTATCAGAGAATGTATGTGGTTAATCCCTGTCCATTGCCTTATGTTTCGGAGCCAGTACATTTTCTTGCGTCCCATTCCTTTCTTGCCTTCAATTTTACCCTCGATTATAAGTTGGAGGAACTGGTATTTTTCATTTCGCATGATGTGACCTAGATACGCCGTTTTCCTATTCTTGATGGTTTCGAAAAGTTGGCGTTCTTGGTTTATTCTTTTAAGGACATCTATATTTGTGATTTTCGCTGTCCATGGTATTTTTAGGATACAGCGATAAAGCCACATTTCGAAAGCTTCTAATCTGTTTACATCCCTCGTTTTGAGTGTCCAGCCCTCTACGCCATATAGCAGTACTGACCATACGTAGCACTTAGTAAACCTTAGTCTCAGTTGAAGATCAAACTCTGAACAAGTCAGTACTTTCTTGAATTTTATGAAAGCTTGTCGAGCTTGCTCAATGCGACATTTTACTTCCCTGTCTGATGCCCAGTCTTCAAAAAGCCACGATCCCAGGTATTTAAATTTACTCACTCTTTCAATGGACTTAGTATTCAGTGTTATGGCGGAGTTTTTAAGTGCATTTAAGTTTCTGGAGATGATCATAAATTTGGTCTTTTTGGTATTAATCTCTAATCCCTTTCGCTTACTGTATTCTCCGATTATAGTGACAAGTTGTTGAAGATCGACTATGTTGTCACAAATTAATACACAATCATCAGCATATCGTATGTTGTTGATCAATACTCCATTCACCTTCATTCCCATCTCCGCATCCTCCAAATACTCTTGAAATATGGCTTCCGAATAAATGTTAAATAAAAGAGGGGAAAGCACACATCCCTGTCAAACACCTCTTCTTATATGTATGGGTTTGGATATAGAATTGTCTATTTTTAACTTTGTCGTTTGATGCCAGTACAAGTTTCCAATGCATCTTATGTCTTTTTGGTCTATATCAACTTTCTTGAGAATCTGCATTAACTTGTGGTGTTGGACACGATGAAACGCTTTTTGGTAATCTAAAAAGCATAGGAACACATCCTTCCTCTGATCGTAACAATTTTGGACTACCACCTGTGTCAATGCAAAATTTTAATTATATACCTTTTATAAAGGATTTTAAATAATTTTTTTTTATTATTAAATTAATATTTTAATCAAATTTTCCATATACTCTAAATTTGAACAAAAAGTTTTTTAGAATTAAAAAATTATTTTTAGGACACAAATCGAATATACAATATATTATGAGAAATTATAAAAAGTCTGTTTAAATTATTATTTTTATTATTATTATATAATTATTTTTAAAAATTGCTAAGTTTTCTTAAAAACCTTGACTTTTCTTGATTGGTTAATTTCAGCCTTTAATTTTGTTAATTAAAGTAAAAGTAATTAAAAAAAGGGGGACTATCGTGGTTCCTAAGAGTCATAGAACATTTTTTTGGTTTTAAAAGTTACATTTTTTAACCAGTTTTCCAAATATTTTTTAGCTGTTTAATTTAAACTAAATTCTACGGAGTTATTGTAAATGTTGATAAGCTCCAAAAAGTGCAATTTATTATTAAATCATTTTGTGTACATAAATGTAATTTTTAATAAATAAACTTTTTTTCCATAGGTTATTAGTAAACATCTTAAAGAATAAAATAAGGGATTATTGGGGTCCATTCAGTCAAATTTTCTGTATCAGCCTTAGAAATTAGCTCAATTTTCAAAAAATCTTATAAACTAATTAAATTTCACAAAAACTATTCAACTGATCTGGCCCATCTTTTGCACACATTTTTAACACAATAAGCCCATCAAGTTCAGGTGAATAATATAAAAATAATAAAAAGTTGAACTTGTTCTTCATTTTGCAATAACTTTTTTGTTTATCATCCATTTATCATATCTCATTTTGTGTATCTTTTTTCATTTCCACTAAAAAATTAATAAATACCTAGATGAGAATCTTTTTGTAATATCTTATACCACACATTATAACTGTTAAACCCATCTATACAGTTGTATAGAGAAAAAAAGTAAAATTGGCCTATTAGATAGTCATCCTTTTATTTATTTATTAAAACCAAATAAACAACCAGTCTTGCCCTCATTGTACTGATCTATCATTATTATCATGTATTATGAAAACTTTAAAGAGGTATATAAAGTTTAGATTCAAACATTTAATTGATAGTAGATCTCTTTTATAGATGCACAACTGCATAACTATATCAAATAATAATTATATGTTAGTCTTTTTGTGAATTAATTTCACATGGACGGCTATGCTGACAAATGTGGAAGTCCTTGAAAGAGCAAATGCTGCTCGCGAGCTGCTTGATAACATTAAATGAAGAAAGATGGCCTATTTTGGACACATAGTAAGGGGAGACCAATATAATATTCTTCAACTTATTATGATGGGTAAAATCGAAGGACTCAGAGGAATTGGTAGAAAGCAGGCCTCTTGGTTGAAGAATATCAGGGAGTGGACATGAATAAAGAAAGCTGAGCAACTATTTAGAATAGCTCGAGACAGAGACAGTTTCGCCATGTTAATCGCCAACGTCAAGGGGACTTGATAGGGCTTGATGTTTAGAAGAAGAATGATAACATACAAATTATTTAATAAACACGATTTATGGATTTATTTCACCTATGATAGCTATAAGCAATGCATGATTTTTTTGAGAGATACTTTTAACAATTTATAAATCTGGATTGACAAATTGGGTTTTAGTATTTCACAAGATAAAACAGCTGTGATGTGTATCACTAAATACAGATATCAGTTGTCCAATAATAAAAGTAATATTTACCTTTTAGGTAAATATACTATCCCTATATTTGATGAATACAAATATTTAAGTATATTATAGATAAAAAACTCTGGACTAGTCACATTAAGTACATCAAACAAAGGTATGAAATGGGAATTAATATTGTTTGTTTCCTCTCCAAACAGCATTGGGGTACAGATCAACTCTTTACTATTGTACAAGTTATATTTACTCTACTCTGGACTATGGGGGTACTCTATAGAGTTCTCCAAGCAATACAAACCAATTGAGTGTTGATTTAATTCAATATTAAGTTCTAAAATATGTCTAGGAGCAATGGTAACATCACCAAATCAGGCCATTCTAGCAGAAGCTCAAGAAGCTCCACTAGTGTTAGAAGACAGTTCTTATTATTATATCTTTTGAATACATAATAAGAATTTCTCTATTATATGTGTATGTTAAATAAATAAAAAAATATCCTACAATTATCTGTTACTCCTCTATACAGCTCTAGGTATATTGAAAACCCAAACAGTAAATAATTACAATTAAGTATGTGGAAATTAAATAACTACTTACTTTTTGAAACTTCATTATCACCTTTTCAGTTTCTTTATAAAATGATTATAATGCACCAATGTAAGAGACACCCTGAGATATAAGAAAGTGACCTTATGACTTATAAATTAAAAGTTGATAATTTTTTCACACAAAAACTTTAATTGTTTTCGGATATAAACCAAACAGTTTTTATATTGACAGCCAAGTAAACATTAGATATTTTGTTTCGGCTGCAAACAGTATAATCTGGTGAGTAATTTAGCCAATTATAACATCACTTTACAAATAAATTATTATTAGTTTTACAATTAAATTCTTCCACAGAACAATTACATACGCCCCTCAATTTGAACCTGTATACTTAAATGTTTATAGTAATTAATAATCTTCAGAACTTACCATGATTTCTGTTTTATTAAAATTGTGAGATACGATTAATACTTTATTTATTAAAGCCAGTCATTCCACAAGAACACCAGTAAAGATGAAAAGATTGATAATTAAAAAATGTTTGCTTCTGCCAAGCTTGACAAGTCAGCAAACGGCAAAACACACCAATCGCCAATCGGTGGTGCTGTCAAATATAAAACTGTCACTGTCATAAAAAATAAATGAAGTAATAATAGATTTTTAAGATTTTTTTATTATTTACCATAATTGCAACCAATTCGAAATTATATTATATGGGATTAATGACAATTGATTAGATTCTAACTAGATGAATGATAATTACATTTTAAATTTGCTTTGACAATTCGTTAATCTCATAAAATAATATGCCATGATGTTTCAGAATCTTTTTATAACCAATTAATAACAATGGTTGTTTACATTTACATAAAAATGCAATAGAATCAAATAAAAAACACCCTTGTAAGTTTTATAATTTTCAAAATTACACATGAAGACAAAGCACCTTTTTTTAATTCTGTGAAGATCCGCCAATGAATGAATCAATTTTTGTTCCATGTCAAATAAATATTTTGCGTCTTCTATGACCCTAACCTATATTATTTCAAATGTACAGATTTTGGAAATGAAATATTTATGGATTTCTGAAAGGATAATAATTAATGTTTTCCCTATACGTCACTACTCATCAAAACCATCATGGAATGTTCTATTTTTTGGAACAGATCAATTCTCTTTATATACTCTAAAATTACTCAATAGATACCAGTAAGTTTGTTTTAAATACCCTTTCTTCAATAACTATTTTACTTTCAGTTCAAAGTCTGAATTAATTAATAAACTAGATGTACTAACTAGCATGAAAAAAAATGCCAATGTTGTTCATAAATATGCAGAAAAATATAATCTTCCTGTCTATGACTGGCCACATATTCCTGGGGATAGGAGTTATGATGTAGGATTGGTAGTTTCTTTTGGTTATTTAATACCAGAAGCTATTATTGCAAAGTTTCCATAGTAAGTAAATTTAATTAAAACATTCTAAAAGGAATTTGATGAAATCTTCATTGTGTTAAAATATATTTCAGTGGCATTCTCAATGTCCATGCAAGTATTTTACCTAGATGGAGAGGAGCAGCACCTATAATACATGCCATTGCACATGGAGACAAAGAATCAGGTATTACAGTAATGAGTATTAAGCCCAACCATTTTGATGTAGGGGAAATTTTGTTGCAAGAGAAAGTTCCCATAGGAGACAGTACTGAGATGCCTGAGTTACATCAATGTCTAGGAGAATTAGGAGCTAAATCTTTAATAAAAACATTAGAAGACTTACCTAATTATATAAGAAATGCTGTACCTCAATCTAAAGATAATATATCATATGGTAAGTTGCCAATATGTTGAATTTATACGTCCATGGTTGAAAATAAGCTCTACTTATTTCCACAATATTTTCTACAAGGGCCATTCCTTGTTTACAATTGATATATTTATTTATAATTTATTTACACATTTTTCATATTATGTAAGTGCTTTTTACTTATTTAGTAGTAGTTATATTATTATTTATATTCATGAATAATAAAGAATATTTCAAAATGTATATATATATATATATATATATATATATATATATATATATATATATATATATATATATATATACAGTAGTCTCTCTTTATAACGATTTCCTATATAACGATAATTCCTCTATAACGATGAAAATAGTAAACGTTGGTTGGTTCGTCATAAGGACAATGTATTAATTCTTTCTCTATACCAATATCGTTCTCTCTTTATAGCGATGACTTTTCAGCGTTCAATAGTCGATGACAAATGTGTTTAAATTTCAGACTACCGGAGTCACGAGTGGCAAGGTCATTGTCCAGCGGCTCGCTTTTATTCTCTGGGCGGCTTGACTACCTGTTATCACACATATGTTGTCATCTATTGACGACTTTTCGTTTCCAGTTTAAGTTGTCTCTCAGTGTGTCAACAGTCAAAATGTTTTCGAAAAAGTGTAAAGTGCTCTCGGCGGAGGAAAAGCAATCGATAACTCGAACAATAGAGAAAGATGAAAAGTAATCGGATGTCGTTCGGCGTACGGGGCTGTCTCAGTCAACTATGGCTAAGATATGGAAGGACAGAAAAAAGTGGATTGCAGCGAAGATGGAGGACGGTAGCAGGAAGAAGTTGCGGAAACCTCAGCACGAAGATTTAGATCGCGCTATGCTTTAGTGGTTGCAGTAGGAGCGTATGCACCATATTTCACTTTCTGGGCCTGTGGTCAGGACAAAGGCTGAGTTTTTTGCAACTGAGCTTGGAATTGAGAATTTCAAGGCATCTGAGCAAGTGGAAACTACGGACAAATCAGCGGAGAGGCTCGCGATGTTAACAAAAACGTAACGGATGATTGGCTAGAAAACGTGTGGAGTGGACTGAAGGCACGATATGCGTCAGACGACATTTTCAATGCTAATGAAATTGATTGACACCAAACAGAACTTTAAAATTTAAATCAGAACTTTAAAATTTAAATCAGAAAAGTGCGTTGGAGGAAAGCTGGAAAGCAACGCATTACAGTTTTAGGGGTCGCTAACATGACAGGTTCGGTGAAGTTTAAAAACATAAAAAATCTACGACCTATAAAGCAAACAAGAGTGCGTTAATGACTTCGGAAAATTTTTAAGAAGCGCTAAGAAAGTGAGATATCGAGCTTAAAGGGAAAAAAATTATTCAACTCTGCTTCAACAAAAAAAGCAGAGCCAGAAACAGCTCCGACCCCTCAGCAGCCATTGGATGCGGCAAAAGTACTACATCGATTCCTCATCCACCATGAAAACGATATGACTGCTGTGGAAGATTATATGCGTCTTCAGGACAAGGTCAGGTCAGTTCTGTGGAAAGTTAAAAGGAAACAGACCAAGGTGAGAGACTTTTTTGATAATGTAGGCTATATTTTATACTAGCATATTATTTGTTATTGTACAGTACACATGTTTTAATTGTACAGTCATTTTTTTATACTGTGATGCTTATATTATTTTTTAATAAATGTATGTTGTGTACAATATAGTGTTAATTCATTTATGTTCGTTTTGATATTTTTTTTAATTTAAAATAGATTATTTAGTACAGTATTATTAATATTACAGTATCGTCTCTCTCTGTATAACGATCTCTCCTTATAACGATGAAAATTCCCGGTCCCTTGCATATCGTTATATAGAGAGAGGACTGTATATCTGTACCGTAGAGGTAAAGGGTAGTATATCCATCTAGTGAAGTTTTGAGATAATGGAAAAATAAGATGAGTTCCAGAAAATTATTTCAATAATTCTTAATCTGAAGACATATGAAATTATGTATTTATATAATTGTAACATTATATCTTAGTTAATCAATATTGTCCTACTGTGATAAAAAATTTGTTTATATATTGGATAATATTCAGAGTTAAGGTCTTTTGCCTCGGCATGTACCAGCAGATAAAACAGTGTACAAAATAGTAAGTGCCTACATAAACTCAAAGAAAAACACAAAAAATGACAAAAAAACATTTACTCATCATCGCTATCATCATTTTTTTTTGGTAACAACTAAATTTCTATGGAACTCATGAAACTGACATTGTAAAAGGATTAGTAAGTGATCCTTTTTCTTCTGTGTGATCCCTTTCGGTTTTTAATATTGAAGTGGTAACTGCTCTGGAAAATTGGTCGCAGTTGCAGCTCTTCTAACGACGTGCAATTCTTTGGGTCTAATTTCTTATCTCTTATTTCTTTGGGTCAAAAGCCTCTTTATAAAAAATTATGGTCGGTGTGTCTTTTTTTACTTGGAATTGGACTATGTTTGAAATGAAGAAATTATTACTCTTCGGTATTTTTCTTTTTACTGATGAATAGGGATTGAGACTGAGTGTAAAGTACTTCAAAATTTTTAAAGTCATATTTGTCCATATTAATTACCTGAGCACCTATGGAACTAATTAATTGCTACAAATCCCAAGGCGTTACGATCTGCATTGCTGGCTGTTTTTTTTTACAGATTTTTCAATTATAGCGTGCACTTGGTCAGCTTCTAAATGAGTGTGTCCTCTCAGTAAATATTTATGGTTAAATTAGGGCAGATATTCAAATGCAAAAAGTAGCTCATCATTACCACAACATTGCGATTTTGACTAGGGCAATTATCTGACCAAATAACCAATTCTTCCACATCAGTTTGTGATAGAACTGTCATAACCCATTAATTTAATGCCGAGGCAATTTCATGGCCACCTCTTCCAGCTTCGGATTCATCCCAGATAAGGTAATACGATTTATTTTCTGTGGCGTCGTATATCGTGAGATTTATAGTCCATAATTTCAGCTTGTAGAAACTTTGGTTATTTGTCAAACAAGGCAAGCATTTCTGCAAATCACACATTATAAGTTTAGTTTTTCCAGCTGATTGTCTGCTTTCCTTTTTTATCCTTTGTTTTCATTTTGTATAAACTTTCTGCTTCTTAAAGATGCTATTCATAATTTCGCTGTAATGTTATTGTTTCTTGCTCGGAACAGTTTTTTAATTGTAGCATAAACCGATCGCAACTATTACAAGTATCCACGGAAACCGATTTAAATGTTGAATTGAAATCATTATTGAAAATTTTTTATACAGCCATAATTTCACAATTTCATTCTTTGGAATGTGGTCTTCTTCACACTTTAAGGTATATAATTTGTACATTTTTTCACGGCTTAATTCTGGTCCTAGATATTTTTTGGCAGTTTTGGATCGAAAATAATGACTTTCATAGCATGGAGAAAGTCATTTTTGCTTTTATTTTTTGTTACTGTCAACTATCTATTAAGTAGAACGCTCTGTCAATTAAGGTGACTAACACTAGTGTGGAGACATTGCCGTTTACAGCGTGCGAAATAGCGTACCTTAAACCAGCTGTTTAAGTTACCAGCTGTAGTCCGTTTGAAGAGGTTTACTCTCCGGACACTGGAACTCACTTCAAACATGTTACCTGAAGTCAAATTCAATTAAATATTTAACATCGCATTTTAATAACAATATGTACAATCTTTAACAACTACATGTAATTTAAAGGGTTTTTACCCTGGTATTTTGGTGGCTCAGGCATTTTAACCTAGCAATTTTAAACCTGATGATGGACTGTTTAGTCCGAAAACGTTTGTTTTTTTGATGTAGCCCTTTTAAGGTTTTTTTTTAAATAAATATACCCATTTACGAAGACTAACCTCTTTTTTGTGATACGTGGTATACAGCCAGCTACAGGAATTGTTTTCCTTGTGGATTTTTCTAATGTTTCAAAAGCCTGTATCAGATCTCTTTTTGTCCAAATTCGATTATAGCCGAATATAATGGGCCTGTCAACAGTATCTTACGCATAAGATAATTTAAGAAATATAAAAAAATGTTTCAATGGCATACATAAGAGCGAGGAAATGTCGCCATTAATTTTAAAAACAAATGTCGCATAGGTATTAGCCACAGCCAGTCCCAACAATTTCATCAAAGAAAAGAGCCATTTGCTTATTTGAGTGCCTAAGAGTCATTTGCTTCTTGTCTAGCGGCTCATCAAGCTATTACATTTAGACGAACTAGGTAGACTAGGTCACATTTAGGAGGTAATTTCAAGTTAGTAGATTTCAATGTATTACCAAGTTTTTAATTTTGATTTTAAATTTTTTAACCCATATAGGTATCTCAGATACTAAGCTCTGTAAAGATTTATGTTCCTATATTAAAATTCTCTAGCGTGAGTTCTATGGGGTTGGGCGTTTTCGGTCGAATATGGCAACGCCTGATATTATTATTTTATTGACTTTTTTCGTGTACATGCGTATTACATAATTTATAACCATTTTAGCCCCAAAAATTACACCAGAATTTTTAAATGTGCGTTGGAACCAGATGACATCTATCCAAGTTTATAATTTATACAGAGCTTTAAAAGGATACTCACCTCTAATGTCTACCTGGCAAGGAATACCAATAAAGCTCTCAGAAATCAAGATTTGCATTGATGTTGATTCCAGTGAAATAGAATTTGGCCCCGGCTTTGTTAAATATAACAAACGGACTAAGGTTTTAAAAGTGTTATGTGCTGATATGACGTTAGTCAGTGTTAATAGTATTAGTGTTTATGGTAAGAGGGTTATGAACGCAACTGATTTTAATAATGGCTTTTTAAAAAAAACTGTTATAGACTTGAGATATTTTAAATAAACGCCTTGTTATGTTTATCTTTTATTGTTTTATGAGTTTTTAAATTATTTTTCCATTTTTATTTTGAAGCTACAATAAATTAGCAATTAGATATGATGTAAATACTTTGTATGAAAAAGGGTTTCCTATAAGTTAATAATCACAGCCATTTTCACTTTTGATATTGCAGTTCTTAATAAGATCAACAAAACTACGTTTACACCACTTTCTCCAATGATTTAATCGAGAAATAGACTTTCTTTCAATGCTCCTTAGTATTTATAGCTACTTTACCTAGTATTATGATCTTTAGTACACCAAAGAAAGATAAAACTAAGATAGCCTGGCATGTGCATCGGATAATCGCTGGTGAAAACCACAACAAGGGAACATGAAAGAATTGGATTGAGTTGATGAGAAGTCAAGCGAAGGGAAAACAATAGAGGAACTTTTAGAGGAAATTTCAATGGAATGACACAAAGAGGATGAGCTGATTTATTCAATCAGCCACTTTTACTATTGGCCAAGAAAAGCAGAAATGTGCCCAATCCTCCATTAGAGAGAGAGAGAGAGAGAGAGAGAGAGAGAGAGAGAGAGAGAGAGAGAGAGAGAGAGAGAGGGGCATCTCCTCTTTTGCAACTTCTGCATAAAACTTTTCCCATTTTAATAAATATCGCTCTAGCTTGTCTAATTATCCTTAACATATAACAAGTAAGGTTTTATACACACCCAAAGCTATAAGGTCAAGGTCGTGTATAATTCTCAGTTATAGAGTAGATTGTACACTAATCCCGGTGCTCTGCACCGATGATATTGTTGCAGCTGTTCTAACTATAACCACGGAAGTAGAAGAGAAGAAACTGGTGGTGTGTTCAGCCTACTTTCCAGGTGATGAGGCTTTGTGTCCACCAAGCATTATAAGTGACATAGTTGCATATTGCCTAGGAAAAGGATTACAGCTCATTATAGGATGTAACGCCAACCCACACCACAATATATGGGAAGCACAAACATCAATGCAAGGAGTGAGTCTATTTTAAATTTCATCTTATCTGAAGGTTTGGTTATAACCAATGTAGGAAACAAGCCAACTGTTGTCACTAAGGCACGCAAAGAAATGTTAGATTTAACACTCTGCACAAGCCAGATAAGTGATATAATAACAATTTGGGTTGAGTCTGACGAACCCTCATGTTCTGATCAGACATATACGATTCGACCTTGATATTTTTCCATCGGAAATTAAATACAGAAACCCTAGAGATACAAACTCAGTAAAAATCTTGAGGAAACTATAATCTTGTTTAAAGGCCCAGAGGTTATAGATTCGGCGGCAGAAACGATAAGCGAAGCTATTATGGCAGCTTACCAGAAAAACAAGGAAAAGTACGGGCAGTAATACAGTCTGGTGGAACAACGGCTTAAAGAGGATGAGGTCGGAAGTCCGAAGCCTAGTTAATAAAGCCAAAAGTAACCAAGATTGGGATGCCTACAGGTATAAGTTAACACTATACAATAAAGAAATCCGTAAAGCTAAAAGGAATTCATGGAAAGAGTTTTGCGAGGAGATTACAGATATCCCGGCATGTTCTCGAATCCATAAAGTCCTGGCAAAGGATAGTACTACAACGGAAGAAGTAGGTTTCCTAAAGAAAGCTTAGAGAAAGCTTAGAGAAAGCTTAGACACCAAAGAGGAAAGTCTTAGAGAACTGATAAACACGCACTTTCCGGGCTAAACATAGTCAATGCTCAGAAAATACAAATCGTCAACTTCACCAAAAAAAACAGCACTACAAGGCCTAAAACCACCGGTACTGTGAAGAACAGAGATTTCATTTGCCAAAGAAACAAAATACCTTGGGGTATATTTTGATCATAGGCTTACATGGAATACTCCCATTCTAAAAACCACACAGAAAGCTACTATGTCCCTGGGCAGATGTAGAAGAATGTGCTGTAAGAATTGGGGACTTAACCCTAAAATGACTCTATGGTTAGGGTGCCATAAAACAACTCCTACTGCATCGTTGGAAGTCCTGTCGGATCTACCACCACTACATATCTTTATACAGGGCGAAGCCAGATCAGTGATGCACAGATTAATCCATAGTCAGCGACATATAAGCCAGATGCATGGTACTGATAACAGAAAGCTAATCGATAGTCGATATTGTGATGGGAAAACCTATCGATGCAACAGCTACGAGATATAGCTTTAACAATAAATTTACAATTAAGATACCAGGCAGGGGAGACTGGAATAAAGGTGTACCCATAAAAGCTGCTGCTACCTGGTACACGGATGGCTCAAAAACATCGGAGGGTGTGGTAGCCGGCATAGTAGAGACAAATCAAGGGATACCTTCCCCGCTAAGTCTATCTAAGGATGTGACAGTTTTCCAGCCGGAAATAACTGCAATCCATTACTGCGTGGAAGAAATAGAAAGGTAGGAAAGAACGTTCTGTTCAGTTGCCATCTTCACAGATAGTCAGACAGCGCTTAAGGCACTCAATTCTGTAGAGGTCAATTCTAAGCTAGTATGGAATTGCGTGTGTGCCCTAAATAAACTAGGAGAGCGTAGCAAGGTTACGGTAGCCTGGGTACCGGGACACGAGGGTAATAAGGGCAATGAAAAAGCAGATGAATTGGCCAAACAAGGCTCACCAATGCCATTCATTGTACCTGAACCCTTCTGCGGCGTTGCAAAGTCAGTAACAAGAACGGCTACAAGGAAATGGGTAGCTCACAAATTTCTGGAATGGTGGAGGAATTCACCAGGACAAAGACAGGCGAAACAGTTCATTACAGAACATTCGCCAAAATTTACGGCAGAGCTAATAAGCAAAGATAGGAAAACAGTCAAAGCCATAGTAGGTTTTATAACAGGGCACTGTAAGCTGAATAGACATTTGAAGCTGATGGGATTATCAGATGATGACCTGTGCAGATTCTGTCACCTCGAAGAAGAAACAGCGGAGCACATTTTATGTCAGTGTGACAGTCTCGCAAATGTGCGGTTCTTTACATTAGGAGAAGAAAATCCACCGGCAAAGAGCTACATGGAAGGTACAGTCTCGAATCTACTAGATTTTATAAAAGGGTCAGGCTAGAGAATGTTATTTAGGACTAGAGGACCACAATAGATCTGAAAAGGTCGCAGTGGAATAGGCCGACAGGCCACCTCTCTTAATCTAATCTAAGTATATGGAAATGAGAGGGGAAAATGCAGAAGAAAATAAATGGATCACTCTAAGGAACGAACGAGGCAGAGTATAAATTTGAGAAGGTAATAGAATTTGAGTACCAGTCTATTTACAAATAGAGGAGGCGAAGAGAGAGAGATAGATAAGCGGCTATTAAAAGGCAGCAAAGGAGTGGAATCATTAAACGCACTGTTGAAAGCAAAGAAACGTGTCCAGGGCAGCCAAGATTCAAACTTATGAAATAATAGTAAGACCAACGGTATTGTATGCATGTGAAACTTGGACAATGAATCAAAAAGAAGAAAACCAGTTAGAAATTTGGGAGAGGAAAATCATGAGAAAAGTTTCTGGTGGGATAAAGGAGGCTAATGGGGAATTGCACAGTAGAACAAACCATGAGCCAATGAAGATTTATAAGAGGCCCAAAATAACGCAGAAAATCAAAGCACAGAGAGTTAGATGGTTGTTTTATGTTTTACGAATGTCAAATATGACCGACATAGAAGAAATGGGAACAAGAGGCTGGAAAATGTAAGTGAAGGACCGTAAAAAGTGAAAAAACTAATCAAGAATATCCAAGGGCCTCTAGGGTCTGTTATATATATTTGCCAACTCGTCCCCATGTCTCCTAATGTTGTCGTTACTTCTCCAGGTATATCATATGATCGAAGTAATTTAGCTTTATTTTTTCTAGGTCTTGAGCTACTTGAATATTTTGGATACTTGGTACCTATTATTATGGCACAGGTAAAAATAAAACGACAAATTATTAGCTTAAATATTATTAAACATTCAATAAACTACATAAACAATAACCAGATTCAATGAAACAATTCAATAATTCCATTCTCCACTCATATGTATATCGATTGGGATTATTTTGTTTTCTATATTATATTATAACAGCATTATAATAATTACGACTGTTAAGAAATAAATTGATGTCCAATAGTTTATTAGTGGCCAACATTATAGCAAATGATTATGTATAGTTTTCCATTTTGGGGGAGATCTACAACTAGATAAAAACTACATCTTAATTATTTGTAGATGGAATCAAAAATAGATATTGGAATGCATGCATTTTTCCAACACTTTTAGTTTTTTTAATTTCGTTTTCGCAGTGAATAAATATACATTTTTGATGATTTTTAATTCTCACTATCATTTCTTTTATTTTCAGCTTCTAATATATTATATCTTTTCTTAAAGAATCTCCTATCTTCCTCTGGGTATGGGCGTTTTAAATATGTTTTGCAATTACATATTATTTCGCGTTTACACCTATTTTTAATATATTCAATACGAACGTACAATTGGTGCTGAACAAAAGTATGAAGAGAAAATGAAAATATAATTGATAGAGAATCCTAATATGGTCCCCTATTTTGTTTTTTTTTCAAATATTTTTCTCTTTTTCACGATAGTTATGTGAAATTGCATATATACGTAGATTCAACAAATATTAATAGTAATCAACAGTTATTTATTTAATTAAAGCTTTCAGAAAAACCTATATTAAACATAATATAAGTTTGGTGCAAATTTTAAAATTGCTCGGTGTGTTGGAAATATGGCCCCCTAAGAAAAATCACATAAAACTGTTTTATTTAACCAAAAAGAACATATTGTTCTGAAGCCATTTTCTTGTGGCATTTTAAAGTAGATATTATTTTATTGGGAATAAACCACAATTGAATGTTAAAATAAGTTTATTTCTTATTTTGATGAGTTAATCCATTTTTTGTAGCTAATGTGTACCCTATTCTACGGTACGAATGTCTTTTCGAGTTAGACCAAAATATGCAGATTCCATTGCTGAAATGTACTGAAC